GAACTCTTCCCCCTGAGTTAAACTGAAGCTTTAATGTTTTATTGAAATCACTGTGGGATGTTGACCTTCATGTGAGAACTGTAAATGGGCAGCCTGTAAACCAAGGTGCTAATATAGCAAATGTCAGTTTAGCTTAAAATGATGCATGCTGTGAGTAGGATTTTCTAGTCTTTTGCTGCTGGAATTATGGAATATTTTTCTATGATTTTCATTAAGGCAGAGCCGTTCCTGGAACTGTACAAGGAAAACTGGACGTGGCACTCAGTGCTATGGTTTAGCTGACAAGGTAGTGTTCAGTCAAAGGTTGGACTTGATGATCTTGGAAGTCCTTTCCAACTGTAACGATTCTGTGATTTCAGGCAGTGCGGAAAGATTTAAAAATCTCAGTCTATAGAGACATTCATGAATTGGAGGAACACTGCCATTGCGATAGGGTTTTTGTCTGTTTTGTTAAGTTGTAGTCACCCCTTAAAAAATGTGTTACTGTTCTACTTCCAGGATTAAATTCACAGCCTGTTTGCAGCATGAAAATGCTGGCACTGATGCAGTTGCGTTTGCAGGCTTTGGTTGGGAGATGTTTTCACTTAACTGAATATGAATTAAACTTGAGGTGCTGTGAAATTCAGTTCAGAAGGTGTTCACTGCAAAATGGAGCATCACCACCTACACCTGTGCAAGCAGCTTGCAGTGGTCTGTGCACCACTTGTCCATGCAGTCAGTTAGTCCTTATGTTGAAGATTCAGTCTATGGAAAGTGAAGAATGAGAGAAGTTCTAACTATGAATTATTGGAGTTTTGAATGTGGAGAGAGGTTTTAGGTCAGGTTTGGCTGTTGAGAAAGTCATAATCTGAGATAAGAGGGGAGATATTTTGGTGCTTTTAGACCACATTAATCCTGTCATCAGCCCCTTAAATTTTCATTTTTGTTTTTGGTATGTTCTAGGTTTTTCTTTGTCTCTACTGAGTTAAATTCAAGACTTTTTAATGCAGAGCTTTCTGTAACTTTTTCATCTGACTTCTTTTAAGAGTAGCACCAAGGATTTTCAGGAGAAATTATTGCCTTTAGGTTTTGATCTTCATAAATTGATGTTCTCAGAGACACAAAAGCAGATTAAGTGTCACTATTGCAGCAGAAAGAAACGCAGCAATACATGCAACAGAAATGGGCTGTCAGCAAAAAAAGAAATCAGCTGTGAGAAGTCAGCCTTAAAAACAGTCTAATTATTTGTCTAAGGTACAATATTGCCCCAGGGAAAGTCAACAAGAGCTTTCCTATCCTTTTCTGTATCCAGAACTCATCAGAATCCATCCTTTAGTTGTAATTTGGATTTACATATGATTTTTAATTCCATTAAAGTGAAATATTTTTTGAAGGAGAAGGATCAGGGAAATAAAGCCCAGGAGACATACTGCCATCTTTTTATCTTTGGCAAAATGAAGGAAAAAATGTCACAGGTTTGAAAGAAGAGCAAACCAAGGTGCTTGGGAAGCCACATAAAGCATAGGCTGAACACTGTGGTCCTGCCTGTTGGGACCAGTTGCAGAGTGACTAGTTAAATGGCTGGGAAGGGCCAGAGCACAGAAGGCCACTTGCTTCATAGACTGAAATAAAGCTTAGCTAGCCCAAAGGAAAATCTACATGTATATAACTTGAGGAAGAAAGCCAAGAGTACAGATGGTAGATTTTGTATGAATGTCTTTTCACTTCATTATTCCAATGCACTTTTTTCTATGCTTCTGGTTGATTGAGCTGAGCCTGCAAAATTCTGAAAGCAGTGACCAAGCCTTTGCAGTTCCCAGCCATCGATATACTGCCATGTCATTGCAGCCCCAAATTAAAATCTTCCAGTACAAAAAGGTCCCTAATAGCACTGCTGGTTTTAACACACCAGGCCTTGATCACGTCAGCCTGCCAGGCTGATTGTAGTTTAATTGCAATCACCATTTCCAGCCAGTGCTTTGATTCTTGGCCTGCACCTTTGTAGACTGCAGTCGTTGAAATGATAGAGCTTATTTGCTGGCCACTCACGGCTGGATTGAAAGACGTGCACAGTAATACCCGAAATTAGAGTGCGTGTGACCGATTTCTCAGGCTGTAGCTGGCTGAGCAGTAGGTGATAAGTGGGGCAACTCTGTCAGCTCCACTGAAATACTGATTTACAGCAGCTCTCATTGTCAGTCCTGAGGAGGAACTGACATTCCCTTCACTGAGCAAGTTCATGCTGTATGCGAAATCAATTTCACCCACACTCACAAATAAGTTAATTTTAAAATACAGTCACTGAGGAAAGGAGGGCACTTGTATTATTTGTAATGCACTTTTGATGCATCATCTTGTTTTGCCTTTTATTTTTTAATACTCTCTAGCATTTGGACAGCTAGCCTCTCTGTCAGGAATAGCATTTTGGTTTTGAACAAATTCCCAAACAGCTGTTCTTTCAAGCAGCACCAGTAGCCACCCCATCCTTTCTTCCTCTGCCTCACATGTAGAATATCCCTGGAAATCACACTGCCCTGTGGCTCAGAGCAGTTCGAGGTGAATCTGGATTTTGTGGCAGCTTTAGGGTCCAGAAGCCTCTGGAGTCACATTTCTTTCCATGCTGGTCAAGAGGTCTCCAAAGCTACAACCGGTTGGTTATGTCTGCAAAAGTATTTTGGTTCGTTCACAGTGATTCTCCTCAGAGACTTGTATTGCTGCTTTCCCTGTAGCAAGGTGGAGTGGTGGGGAAGCAGAGAAAACTAAAGCAACTCTGAAATTCTGCCTCTGGGAAATGCCTGATTTGAGGCATGGTAGCAATACTTGATAACGAATGAATTCTTCATTTGCTGTATCGGCCAAAGTAATGTACTAATTGCTCAGCTGGAGTGAGGAATATGCTTAATGACAGTCTCCTGAAACTTCTGTACAACAGCATCATGGTTGGGTTTTTTTTCCAGGCATTCTCATTTTCTTTTCCTCCTGAACCTATAAATAGTTTAAGATACACAGGATATTAGATGAAAGCAAGATAAATGTAATTCACAAGTTTTGAAAAAATAATTTATACTTCATGCTTGCATTGATGGAATAGCTGAGCTTTGATCATCAAAGTTAGGATGATTTAAATGAGAAAGGCAGTGGAGTTTTATTCTGAAATGACCTCCTCAAGTCCTGAAGAATAGCAGTATGATGTAGGTTTATTATCCTGACTGATCAGATTATCACAGGTTATAGGCAAAATGGAGGACTTTTTTTAAAATCTGCTACCATAGAAATGTCAAAGCAGGATCTCCAAGCAAAACACTATTTCCATACCCATAAGCATTTAATCTGTTGAGAACTGATTGACTATTATTGCCCTTTCTGTCCATAATACCTGTCTAAAATCTCATATACTTTAAAATAGAAGATGATTAGTCTTCCTCTGTTTGCCTTTTAACCTGGAAGGGGAAAAGCCAAAATTCACTAGAAGACCTGTTATTTTAGATACATGCTTTGATAGTATCTACTTCCAGCTGAGATCAGTTGGTCATAGCTTTTGAAGACCTCAGTGTCCTGACCACTCTAGCAGCTTTGGCAGACACTCCCAATATAAACCCAGCTATATCAAGGAAGTTCTACTCTGATACAGCTTGTTTGCTTAGGGCAGTTTTTCATATACTAGTGCAGCACCCAACCATGTCCACAGGAGTTTTTGTTGGCCTAGTGCTCCATATCCAGTGCACTCTGCTCATCTCTTGTGTTTTGGCACTACATCTCTCACTTCAGATTTGTTCATGTGCCATCTCCCAGGTGC